ACTGTGTGGGACCTTGCAGGCCACTGTGAGGACCACTGGCTGCTGACAATACATCTAGTGGTGCAAGGGTGGAAGCAGGGAAACCGGTTTGGTGGTTACTGCAAAAATCCAGGGGATGGATGACTGTGACTTGGCTAAAGCGGTATCACTGTAGGTTGTGGTCAGATTCCGGATCAAAATACAAAAGTGGAGTTCACAGAATTTGCTAATGGATAAAATATGAGGTATGAGAATAAGAGAGCCCAAGGAGCTGAAAAGATAAATAAAGAACAAATACATAAACCTCCTTCCTGCTGGGTCCCACTGGTGGCCCACGCACAGACGAAGTAACCCCTTGGCCATCTCACTGTGCAGGAGCGTCACACCTGGCAAAGCTGGTCCCCTGGCAGAGGCCCTCCCCCACACTCAAGAGCTGACCCTGGATCCAGCCTCTCACCCCACCCCCACTTTGCTTCCTATACTCTTGGCCCTGTGACCCTTCGCTAAGTAGATGGGCACGTGGTCTCACACCCACAGAATCTGCTCCTTTATCAACCACGAACAGGTCCAGAACAGCTCAGTGGAGCTCCTGATAAAGAGAAGGTCTACATCCTTAGCACATTCCCCAACTGCTAGAGTCTCTTCCCCACACTTTGTGCCACTTAAGGAGGCAGTATCACCTCCAACACAGAGGAGGCGGCCCAGACTTGGGGGTGGAGGTGGGAGAATGGAGACAAGAAGGGGAAAACAAGAGAGCAGCCGCTGGAGGGTCTGCACCCCAAATGCCCCCTCAGGCTGTGCCTGTCCTCAGCCATTCAAGAGCATCTCCTGTTCAAGGGAAGGCCTCCATCCCCATCCACACGTGCCATCACCACCATCACCAAATCACCCATCTAGACCTACTCCTCTCCTCTTCCACCCCACTTTCCGAAGAGCAAAAGGGTACTTGGCATTTCCATGAGATGCACCTTTAAAAATATACTGTTTGGGGTTTCTTTTCCTAGCCAAATCCATACAACCTTGTCCTGAACATTCAGCCTGAGACAGACAATAAGACATACAGAAAAAAGAATTCAAAATGGGGCAACGGTAGGGAAGTGCTTCTTACTAATTATTTTCTAGGCCAATGACTGTAAGATCATGGTAAGCGTGTCAATCAAGTGTTTGCTGACTGCTCACAAAGTGGCCAACATACAATGACCCCTGGAAGAGACATGCAGACAAGACAGCATTCCCACCCTCAAGAAGCGTACAATCCAATTAAGGAAGAAAGTACCACAGGCACGAGAGCAAACGAGCAAATGCTTCCTATACTGCGTGGCCAGGCTATCGGAGTAAGGATGGTTAGGATTCGGGGGAGCAGAGAAGAGACAGAGGAGGCACACACAAGGCCAGAGGCAGCACTCAGCAGAGCGCACGCAGGGGACTGGGAGCGTGGTGACAACTGCCTGTGGGCTTTCAGAGCCAGGTATAACAGCTGATGGGGGCCTTGCAGGCAGCAGCCCAAGCTTTGCAGCAGGATGGCTTGGCCACAGCCAGGAGGGTGGTACCAAGGAGAATGGAACTGCAGCCAGGCAATGTCCAGGAGGCCTGGACAGTCACTTGGGCATAAAATGAAGGGGGAAGAGACTAGAACTATAGCAATGGGAACCGTAATCTAAAAAGGGAAAGTCCTTACAATACTGAGCACCAATTATGGCAGGTGTAGTTTTAGACATAGAAGATAAGCGATTTCCAAAGACATTTTGAAGAAAGAAATAACAAAGCAGATTAGCTACAGAGGGTATACAAACCAACTGCTGACTTTATTTATTACCTGCGTTCTGTTCAAGGGTGGAAAGGTTAATAAATACTTTATAGCCCAATCAGTGGCTTAACTTTATCTACAACTTTCCTAGACACAGAATGCTTAAAGGAAGACTCTGTCAGGGACACACACACGTGAGATGAAATGACAGCCATCTTTAGTCCTTCACGGAATTATTTTGCTTCCCTGTGTTTTACATAAATATGGATGAAAAGATCTGAAAATTCCTAACTATCTCCCAAGCAGTAAAGCAAGACCATTGTTAACACGCAACGGGCCTACATCGCCATTCCTTACCCTGCCACGGCCAAGCACACCTTCCTTCTGCGGGAGCCTAAGGAGGTGATGACAATGGGCAGGGGCTCGAAGTACCTCTGACCCCCCGGGCACTGAGGAAGGCTTTTCACTCATCTGAGCCCTCTCTCACCCTCTAAGTGCCCGATAAGCCCCAGGGGTCACGACAAACCTGGCACACAGGCTCTGCTGAAGATACGGCCACATGCCCTGGGAGCCATGAAAGCTTCTTCTGCCATCTCCCACCCTAACCCACACTCCAAAATGCCACAGACTGAGCATCAGCCTCCCAGGGAAGATGCTCCTGGCTTCAGACAACTGAGCAGCCAGCTGAGGGTCAGGTACCTAGGGGTGTATTTAAGGATGTGGCCCCTCTCTGCTGCATTTAGAACAAAGGGCAATTCTGAGCCCCTCAGACTCTTCAGTGCAATGGCAATGACGACCAAGGTGCTCACAGAGACGCCCTTCTATGCGTCCCCAAGGCAAAGGCAGGTTGGTTTCCTAAGCCCAAGCCACAGGACATTGTAAGTGGAGTATATTCAAAGCAGTACACTAGTGAGCTGGAATCCCGTGTCCTCACAAGGATGAAGGAGGAGCCAGTCATTTCCCAAAACCCGCCTCTCCTCCTCAGCCCCAGTGCGAGAACCAAGGAGGGCAAAGCTGGAGCAAGCCCAGTCTGCTGTATCACTCTGCCTGCTCCGACCGGCTGTCCTCCTGCACATCCTTCTGATGCACTTTGATCTTGCACGGGTGAGGCCAAATATGCACAAGCCCAGTCTTCTGGTGAGTCACAAAGGAACTGCTAATGGAGGATACTGCTCCAGGTAAGACACCACTGCCCTCAAACGAGGCTTCTTCTGTTTGAGCATCTGCCCACGGGGCTAAGGCGTGCATCTGGGTTTTGTCCACCATCTCTGCACGTGGCACATGTCCATACTTATTACCAACCGTAACGGGGGGCAGGGGAGTCAAAGGGATTAGCTCCACAAGACTTTGACCCTGCCTGAGATGAAAGTCTTAAAACCAGACTCACACCCCTGCCAGCTGTCACGCACCTCAACACTGTCACAGCCTACACCAGAATCCTACAGACACCCAGGTTGTGTGGCCAGGGAATTGGATCCACAAATCAACTGTCCCTTTAAAGATCCGCAGCAACTTAAGAGCAGCTGGTTTCTGGTATGAACCAGTCCTCAGAAAGCAACTCTCACTTCATCTACAAAGGACAAGGTCCAACAATTTGAGTTTTGTTTAAAAAAAAGAAAATAAAAGGAAAGAATTGCTCCACACAGATAAATTCAAGACTCAGACACAACTGCTGGTTCAAGAACAGGGCTTGAGGGCTTTTCAAAGCAGCCAGAAGGCTGCTGAGTGTGACTGTCCTGCTATAAAGCTAAACATGGCTGGTTGAGGTCTGGGTCGAGGGGAAGGGAAACAGTCCTGAACAGAAAGGTCCCGCCTGAAGGGGCACAAAGCAGGCACAGAGCTCACTGTGGGGCCTCTGCACTGCCCACGCCCAGGGCAGATCCAGCAGAGCTGACCTTGCCCGTACAGGCAGGTGTCTCCTGCCCTGCCCTGCAGTAGCAAGTCCTCGGACAGAGGCAACTGTGCGGCCAGAGGAAATCCAGACTTCACCTCTCTCCTTTCCCTCCCTCCCTCTTTGTTTAAAAGAGAAGGGGAGGGATTTCCCTTCCCTAGTGGTCCAGTGGGTAAGACTCCGCGCTCCCAATGCAGGGGGCCTGGGTTCCACCCCTGGGCCGGCAACTGGATCCCAAATGCCGCAACCAAGGCTCTGCATGCGGCAGCTAAGAATCCCACATGCTGCAACGAAGATCCCATGTACCGCAAATAAGACCCGGAGGAGCCTAAATAAATAAATATTCAAAAAAAAGAGAAGGGGAGTATTTCTGTGCCTAAGAAGTGTTGCAACCGCAAGAGTCCTATATCAAAAAACAATGACTGAGGACTTCCCTGGTGTCCTCAGAATCTGCCCTGCCAATGCAGGGGACACAGGTTCGAGCCCTGGCCCGGGAGGATCCCACATGCCGCAGAGCAACTAAGCCTGTATGCCACAACTACTGAGCCTGTGCTCTAGAGCCCGTGAGCCAGAGCTACTGAGCTCACGAGCCACAACTACTGAAGCCCACGCACCTAGAGCCCATGCTCCTCAACAAGAGAGGCCACCGCAATGAGAAGCCCACACATCACAACAAAGAGCAGCCCCTGCTCGCCGCAACTAGCGAAAGCCCACGCACAGCAACGAAGACCCAACGCAGCCAAAAATAAAAGATATAAATAAATAAATTTATTTTAAAAAAAAAAACAAACAATGACTGAGACACTGCTTTGGGAAAGATCTCCAGTATTCTCCTTACTTGCTGCAAGTAATAAATCCTTCCCTCTCCCCCCCCAAAAAAAAGAAAAGAAAAGAAAACAATGGCTGACTTTTTAAAGCATTTCAGTAATACCTGGGATCTCTAAAAGATCCTGAAATTGGCACAAGATGGTTATAATTTCAGTGCTTAAGAGAAGCTCTGAAGTCACATCATTTCCACATAGCGATCAGAGGTAGTTTCTTACCATAGAGTTGGGAGGCTTTATTTTTTGGTCTCCTGCCTCAAAGAAAGTCCCTACTCCAAACCAAGTACTGTGACGGTAGTAATAATGACACTATGAAAAATATCAGCTGCAGTTTATTCATCACGTACCACATGCCGGGCATGTTTAAGAGCAGCTACCTATCTTTCCTCATTTAATTCTCCTTGTGAGGTAGGTACACCTTTTAGGCTGATTTTATAGATAAGAAAACGGAGACACAGAAAAGTTAAGTAACTTGCCCAAAGTCACACAGTGAATGATACAGCTGGCACTTAACCCCAGGAAGTCTGGAACCATTAGATTAAACAGCCTCTGTACTTACATCTGCTAGATCTTCATCCTGAAACAACCCTGTGAGTCATCATAGGGTTACCTGCAAATTACAGGTGGGGGAAAAAAAGAATGAAGAAAGGTCAGATAATTCGTCCAGCTAGTAAGCTATAGGGACAGACAGGGTCAGGAATCGGATCCAGGTCTCTGACCTCCAAGTTCTACACTCTTCACTTCTCCATACTCCAGGGCGGCTTGATCAGCCAACAAGGGACCTCTGTACAGATGGCTGTTCCCAGGACCAGAAGAGGTGACACTAGGTCCCAAGGGCATACAGGCAGGGAAGAATTAAGAACCATCATGCCATGAGGAATCTGCCATCTGCTGCCCACTTGGTGGCTCTTAAACAGGATTTACCCTGTCATGTCCTGCTCAAAAACCTACAGACTTATTATCCCTCATAGTGTCTCCTGTGTGATTTCAAGTCCCTCTGGCTTGAGTTACCCGATCTCATCTCCCACTTTCCCCAAGAAACCCAGCCCTCCTTCCAGTTTGGCAACCCCACTCCACCCCACCCCAGGGCACATCCCTCTCACTCGGACATGGCTCACGTGGTTCCCAGCACCTGAATCCGCTCGTGCTCATCTCCCTGCCATGTTTCAGAGCCCCTCGCCTCCCCCAGCCCTTCCTGAGTGCCTCCGCCTCTGGGCGCCTTCGCAGTTCCAAACAATTTCATACTTACTCACATCCAAGCAGTATTGTTTGCCATTGTTTCTGTTTCCCAACGGAAAATTCCTTAGGGGAACAACCATGCAGGATCTCAGGAGGCACAGACACCAGAAGGCTTCCGAGCACAGGCTTAGGAGTCAGACAGAGATTGGATCCTGACTGCCACGCGCTCAGCCGTCCAATTCCTAGTTGGCACACCTGTAAAATGGAGGTGAAAATAGTACCTACTTCACAGGGTATTTCTAAGAAGTAAATGAGAGAATGCATCTCTATAGCGTTTTCCACAATGCCTGGCAAAAATGCTCAATAAATAATTAATTCAATGATAACATACCGGGCCACAGCCCTGCCTAATGTCTGCTGACTGTGCAGCTGGAGCACAACAAACAGCTGCAATTAAGTGATGGAAGACTACTGAAGGTTGAGGACTACCTGTAAAAACTAGACAAAAGAAGAAAAGCAAGAGGGAGCTCAAGAAAGTAAAATAATAGAGTGGAACGGGGAAAACAGGATCTAAGGACTAAACCAAATCTGAAAACACTTCCTGGGCACTGACTATGTGCAAGCACACCAAGGGGCACAGAGGGCGTGTAAGACAAAGGTCCCACACTCACGGGGCTTAGGATCCAGCTAAGCACTTAAGACAACACACAAAATAACTAAAAACACAAAAAAGTACATAACCGCAAAATGAATGGTACAGCCAGGGGTTTCCAGCTTTTTTCAGTTACAACTCCTTTTTACCATCAACTATTTCTTTTTTGATCATTATGTGATATATGGCATTCCTTATAATACCTTGTTGATTGAAAAAAATGCCTAACAATAAAAAAATCTACTATGAATTCAACATTTTCCAATGAATTTGTATTTTGTTAATCACAACAGCATCTACGTGCACTGCAGAAAAAGCAGAACATATATATTCGCGATGTCATTAACTCAAGCTATGATGTTTGATGAATCTACTCAATAGATCCACAAGACTGGCCGATGGGCAGTACACACACACGTACACACACACACACACACACACACACACACACACACAGACTCTGCCCAAAGCATGGGGAATCACTGGCAGAGAATCCTACTGACAATAGTAGTTCAGAACCGAGTAGAGACTAGATGACAAAGTTCTAACAGATTCAACTCAATAAACACTTAGCTAACTTAATTACAACAAACAGTTAACTATTATAATGAAAGAGATCTTGGAGGACGGGTGGGATGAAGCTGGGTGGAGGGAAGGGGGAACGTGACCGGCGTGCGCGTGCTCAAACCCGGGCCTGGAGCCTCCTCTGCAGGTGGGAGGAGGGGACTGTGACCTGGGCACAAACTCAACCCACCGTCCGGAAGGGACACAGCTGCTCAAAAGACAAGTACTGCAGATGCCAGGAGCTCCTGTGTGAAGAGCACGGGCTCCAGAGTCCACAGATCTGGACTTGAATCTGAGACCCACCCACCACTGGGCCTCAGTCAGTGAAGGCAGGCTTCTGAAGCCCCATCTCCCTGCTGTAAAACAGAGACCAATACTATTTGCCTCATAGGGAGATAAGGATTTTGAGGTGAGGCTAAAATAAGTAACCATGGTGAAGTGAGCCCGCGGTGTCCCAGAGAGCAGATAATGCCGCGGTGCCCACGACCATACCACAGGGAGTGCCAAGGTAAGACTGAGTGCAGCGCTCCTCAAACAGATTTGACCACAAAGCAGTTTTAAGTTAAAATTTACAGAGGGAATCAGTAAAGGAGCGCAAGAGGTATGAGGCACACTTAGATTAGCATGGGACGACAAATAAGAAAACACCTAAGGATCCAAACTATGAATTCAACATTTTAGATACATCTTTAAATTATTTTATTAATTTATTATTTTATTAATCACAAATCAAATCAAAAGGGCTCATGGGTAAATGAACTGTTGCAAAAATGACTCGTTTTTAAAAGGTTTATAAATAAAATCCTCCCCCCTACCAAAAACTTGAGTAAAATTCAATCATCTTATTAAGAACATCTTTTGCTTTTCTCCAGACTCCTTTTAACAGTCCGTGGAACACAGTGCAGGAAGCACTACCTCAGAGTGGGGTGCGGTGCTGAAATAGAGGACAAGATAAATAGGAACAAGGAAGACACAACAAATAAAATATTATTCTACACTTCTGTGAACAATGATAAATTGTATGGCTTAGACAGCAGGACTTGGTACCTCTTCTCACCACCCCCAATTTAAGGACCATGAAAACACCTGTTGTATGCCAGGAATGCTACAGGCATTAGGGGCTAGGACTTCTCGGGATAGAGGAGGGGAGGAAAAGGCAGTGAAGGGAAAATTATCAAATTCTGCTTCTGAATTTGGCCTTTTTTAAAATTTGGATATTTTTTTAATGTATGTATGTTATTACTATAGAAATCAGATGCTTTTTCGGAAGCGAAAACTAAAGCTTGAAAACAAGGAAGACAACGTGACACTGTAGTGAATGGACACAGTTCTGATCGCAGAGGGTCTTTATCTGTCCCCCAACGGAAGCTCCGACCAGTGTGGCCTGGGGTAGAGAATGGAGACCCCCGTGTGGGCTCCACGCCGGCAAACTGCTCCTCAAGGACTCAGAACTCCAACTCCATCCGACAATGAGCAGGAGAGCCGCCCCTCTCCTGGAAGGCAGCTGGAGATGCCATGGAACTGGGGCGCGGTCACACAGCCACTCTGCACACCAAGGCCAGTCCCTCAGAGCGGCGTTTCTGTGCTGTCCGGGCCCCTGTGCCAGGAGGGCGGGAGAGGCGGCCCAGGGACTTTCCGTCTGCGAATTCTGGAGCCCAAGCAGCCGCGGAAGGCAAACCCAGGGCAGAGAAGAGGACCAAAGGAAAGTCTGATTAATAATTACACTCTGGGCTTCCCTGGTGGCGCAGTGGTTGAGAGTCCGCCTGCTGATGCAGGGGACAAGGGTTCGTGCCCCGGTCCGGGAAGATCCCACATGCCGCAGAGCGGCTAGGCCCGTGAACCATGGCCGCTGAGCCTGCACGTCCGGAGCCTGTGCTCCGCAACGGGAGAGGCCACAACAGTGAGAGGCCTGTGTACCACAAAAAAAAAAAAAAATTACACTCTGAGTTTACACAGCACTTCTTTCTTCCCTGATGAGTTTGAAGTATTTTGGAGACATTACTTCACCAGGGCCTTCAGGTTCTTTATTTAAGACAGTCTCCAGCACACGGGAAAGCTGAATATTAAGTCCACTTTAAAACATTAGGGAGAGCACACATACCCACACCAATCTGCCCAAGGGGAATCGGCAGAGCGATGAGACTCCAAGCTCCCGTTCGCCTCGCTGTTCTGGCCAGTAGCATAAGGTTGCTTCTCAAAAATGATTCTGAGAGTTTAGGAAAAACTGAGTGTCCCACAGGTCCCAAAATAAGCGTCTAGAATTACACAGAACAGAATAATAGTCCTGCCTCACCCACAGCACAGATCAAGGGCCCAAGTTGCCTTAAATCATTTCTAAGACAAGCCAAAAAAGGAATAAAGGAGAGAGGAAATGGAAGGATGAAAGAGGAAAGGAAAAAAGCTCATGTGTTGTGCTGAGATCAAAGTAGTTTCCATTTGTATCTCAAGAGAGGGGCACTGGCCGATTCCATAGGCCTGTCTACTGCAAGCCAACCAGAGCACTATAATCTATAGGATAAATCGCTAGTCATTTTACATTTCTTTCTTGTCTCTCAAAAAAAATACATCTGTTTCTATAAGAATACTCAGTCATTTAGCATTTATTGTGAGTCTACCAAACACCAGGCATCATGCTGGGTCTGAGTACAGAAGTGAACAAAATGTCTCCTATACTGGATGGAAATGCAGTGGTGGACACAACCACCAGGACAAAAATGTCAACACACAAACAGAAAAACAAGTTCATACTTACATACCGTGAAGAGGTCTGAGGGGGAGAGAAGAGCAGAAGGTAAGAGGAAATAACACAAGGGACCCTTGGCTGGGGTGGTCAGGAAGGCGGCAGGAGCGAAGTGCTGTCTCGCCTGAGGTGGAGGGTGGAGCTGAGGGAAGGCGGGAGCTTCCTGCAGGGGCAGGAGGAGGCACAGGTGCACGGCCATCAGGTGAGAACAGACGTGGGCCTTCCAGGAACTCTGGGTTTAAAGGTCACTGGGAGAGGAAGAAGAGGACAGCAGGGCAGGCAAGGCCACATCATGGAAAGCCAGGCTTGGCATCTTAAGGAAAGTGGATTTAAGGACCTTGCTTCTTCCTGTGTCCCTCAAAGCTCTCGGCCCAATGCCTTCCTCATGGCAGACACCAAGAGAACACACGCTTCATTCAAATATAAACCACTGACCATTTAACAAGCAATGCGATGACTTAAAACTTTGGCCCTCAAGAATCTTACAGAAAAAAACGAAAAAAACCAGACCATCCCTCCACCCCAAATGACAAATGTTCTTGAGCCAACAAGAAAAATATCCTGAGACAGTATCTAATTAAATGCCAAATGAAATGTTCAAGTCGTATGTCGTTCCCTGGAAGGGGGTAATTTTAAGCCATAGTAGTGATGACAGGTTTCCCAGAGAGGGTAGGACTGCAAGTGGAAACTGAAGTTCAGGGAGAATTTAGCTCAGCCACCTGGGAGGATGCTCCAGGCCCACAGAACAGGGTAAGCTCAAGTGCACAAGCAGAAATGAGCAAGGCCTGTTTGAGAGAAATACACACAAAGGGACAGCTGGGCCCATCCTGGACACCCGCACGGCAGTCCAGCCCAGAAGCCTCTCCAGGCCGGTTGGCCCAGCCTCAGGGCCTTGCAGGGGACAACAGGAAGGTACCCACCAGTCAGGCCCTGGCCGGTCTCCTGCCTGGCACACTCTGGGTGAGCGGCCTGGAAAGGAGTGTGAGTGAGACTGTCTGCCCCCGGAGGAGACAGACAGGCAGAAGGCTACAGATCTCACTCACTGGGATAAAAAATTAAATGCCAAGAAGGAGGGTGAGAAGAGGAAAAATCCAAGTTGTAGAATTACGCAACTGAAATTCCATGCATAAGCCAGGAAATGCAAAGGTCACAGTTCCCACAGCAACTGTAACCTGAGCCGCCGGCTGTGTAGTCTTTGGCTCCGCCGGGCCCAAGGGGAAGCACCCTACTGTGCTCGGTGCTCAGCCTCCAGACCGCACCGCCAGCCAGTACCTGCCGCTCAGGGCCCCAGGCCCGGCC